TACTGTCATGAAGTTTCAACGTATACATATCTTAAGCACCACAGACATCATGCTTCACAAAGCCAACGCATATCCCAGTAATTTTCATTCTTTCATGTCTTGGGAGCTTTCCATGTCGGACCATTTTCCTTTCACCTGAAAACTGCAGATGTGGGTCCAATGGTTTCAAATTACCTCAGTTTTTATTCATCTGGAATTGTCTTTATTTAATCCTCACTTTTGGAGAACATCTGTGCTGGGTATAGAAATCTACCTTGGGTCAGGGAGAGAATACAGGAATTAGGGTGCACGTTTTGCATGTGTTGAATGCAGGTCCGAACCCTGGAACCACGTGGTTTCCTGAGCATCATCAGGTGCAGCCATGGAGGCCCTCAAGCATCACCAGGTGTAGCCCTGGAGATCCCCAACCACTGCCAGATGGCCTTGGTGGTTTCCAGCAGGATACAAGCAGTACCACATATCTCTGGGGCCCAAGCAATAAACCACTAGAGCCACTAGCTCAATTGGTCAAGTACTGCTAGAAGTGGCCTCAGGGACCCCTAAGCACCAACATTCATGCAGCCCCTAAATAAATACATAAAAATAAATGAAATCTATCTTCTTTTCTTTCAATAAATTAAAGATGTCATTCCACTGTTAATTGGCTTCCATCATCTACACATTTACTCTTGTTCCTTTAAAAATAGTATTTTAGGGAGGGAGCAGAGCAATAGTACAGCGAATAGGACATTTGCCTTGCATGCAGCAAACCAGGTTTGATTCTCCAGCATCTCACATGGTCCCCTGAGTACTGCCAGGACAATCCCTGAGTATGGAACAGGAGAACGCCTGAGCATGGCCAGGTGTGACCCAAAAATGGGTAAAAAAAAAAAAAAGTATCTTTTGAAAAAAAAATAAAGAGAGGGGGCTCTGACTACTTGTAAAGGTTTTATTCTTCTGGGGCCGTTGAGAGAGTACAGTAGGTAAGGCACTTGCTTTGCATACAGCTGATCCAGATTCGATTCCAGGCACCACATATGGAACCGAGAGCCCTGCCAGGGGTGATTCCTGTGTGCAGAGACAGGAGTAAGCCCTGAGCACCACAGGGTGTGAATCCAAAATAAAAACAAAACAAAAAAAAGATTTTTCTTTTTCTTGGATTTTTCAGTATTTTTATAGTTTTGAATCTAAATGATAATCAGGTTTTTTTTTTCCTGCTTGGAGTTTACAAAACATTTTAAATGGGACTTGATTTCCCCCACAATTTGGGAAAATTGTCAGTAATCTTGTCTTCAAGCATGCTTTTACACTACTCATTCCATCCCTTTATAAGTTTCATTTACAGATGTGTTCTTTTCTCCCTTTGCTTATGTCTTTTCCTATGATTCTGCCTCTCTTCTAAACTGAATATTTCTCTTTAACAACAACTGGATCCAAAATGTTTTGAGATTTTGCAAGTTTGAAAATATTTTAATTTTGCACATTTAATAATTTGGCTAAGCAAAGAATTTTAAATCTGAAATTATTTACCTTCAGGATTTTGAAGACATGACTCTTTTTTTTTTTTAACTTAAATCATCAGTGAAATACAGTTACAAAGTTGTTCACAATCAGGTTTTAGTCACACAATGTTCCAAGAGAAGACATAACTCTTATGGATTCTTCTTACAGTCTAGCAAAAACAAAGGCTAATTCTGGTTTCAGTCATTGTATATAAATGGATTACTTTCTCTCAGATTTTAAAGCCTCTCATCATCTTTTGTATTAATAAATTTCTCAACATTCTCTTGTGTGACTGACTATATTTCACCCATTCTAGTAGGCATTCGATGAGCTCTTCTGGTCTAGGACTTTACCTTCTCCTATTAAAGATTCCTTTAACTCTCTCATTCAGGACTTCATCCTGTGAATTTTCTTTTTAAATAACCCAAGTGATTCAAATATTGCTGTCCTTTTATATATTACTGTCCAACAAGCTCCAATTTAGTGTCCTCAAATACCAGCTCTGCCATTTCTGCAATTTTTCGGTTGTGGCAAAGGTCTCAGGGGTCACACATGTGGCTGCAGTGTCTACACACTTGATGGCGGTGCAAGGGAGATCTTAACCTTAGTTACAGAACAAATGTGGATGTGGTCAGCTGGGGAACAAACAGTTGACAGTAATGCACCAGGGTCGCACACGCTGTTGGGATCCAAGCAGTCACACTTATAATGGTGCCAGGACTTACATTCAGAGGCAGGGGAGGGGTTCCATGGATTGAATTCAGAGCCTCACATATGCCCGGCAGTGACTCTACCACTAAGCCACATCACCAGGACCTCCATGCAATTCTTTGAGTTAGGAATTTGAGTAGAGCTCAATGGGGCGCTCGTTTCCTCCCTTCATGGTATCCGCCAGGGGATTCAACTGGAGCAGAATGTTCCACTACGGTTTCAGTACAAACTTGTTATAATAATAATGGTGGATCTGGTGTCAAAATATTGAAGGTAATCAAAGTAGAGAAAGAGTAATGTGGAAATCATCTGCCACACAGGTTGGGGGAGGCTTAGGATGGGGGATATATTGGGGTTTCTGGTGGTGGGAAATGGGCACTGGTGAAGAGACAGGTGTGTCACCATTGTATGACTGAGACTTAAACTCGAAAGCTTTGTAACTGTTCTCACGATGATTCAATAAATAAATTTATTAAAATTTAAAAAAAAAACACCTTGCTATGATCCGTTGCCTAAGAAAGCCATATTCTTGTTCTCATGGTCCCTATCTCTTCACAATCTATTACTTGGTGGCATCTCCTGGGTCACTTTAAGTGACAGCTAACTTCCTGACAGAAGAAAATAGAAGCTGCAAGTCCTCTTAGGAAACAGACTGGGAATTTACTGAACGTCGATTTTGTTGATAATATCAAGTTACCAAGTCACACAAAAGGAAAGGCAAATGGACTCCAGCATTTGACAGTGAGAGAAGCATACATCGGGGGTGACAGGAGAATCTTGGCTGCCTTCTCTGCAGACAATCTAACAATCTACAACAGCATCAGATTGCCCAAATCTCCCAAAACAACTATTTTTTTTGGGGGGGAGCATTAGAAAGAAATTAATTTGTTCAACTGTTTGCAGCTGTGCACTATTCTGCACCTGCCTGTCCCCAGCATCCTTAGAACTGTGTGGTGGGGGCCCATGAGGTTGAGTCATTTTGTTGCCAGTGAAAGCAAAGGAGGTGGACTCGAGGAAACAAGAGTGCTCCCCCGCCCTGCTTCAGGACTCAGTGACTGCGTGGCTCGGGTCAGCTAAAGTCGGCCCCGAGCACCTACAACTCATGTCCCACCAGCAGCACCAGGCAGCTGTCGAGCTGCACCTGAAGCCCACCTGCTCTGCACAGCGTGGAGATGGTACATGATTACCTGGTGAGCTGTGGACTGAGGCTGGAGCAAGGAATTGCTCTTTGCAGGAAAGGAAAGTCAGCCCTCACCTTGGACAGGTGTTCTGGGTTTGTCACCTTTCCTTCACAGAAACAAATTTCAAGATAGTTTTTACTGAATGGAACTTGCTTATAAAGATGTGAGAGAAGAGAAAGACAGGGAAAAAAACATGCTGAAGACAGAACATTGGCTTGAAGAGCAAATTTCAGTCCAGGCTTTTAAGACCACCACCCCTCCATCTGTATCAGATCTGTTCCTGGGCCCTGTGTGTGGGTCCTCCTGATCAGGGAAACACATTCAGGAGTTGGGATTGGGAAGCAAGGGCGTGAGGTCTCAATATTCATCTTTGTCGACTTTCCTATAATCTTATTTTCAATACTGTATATCGACCTTTTACTGTGCCAAATTTCTTATGTTTCATTCTTTTTATTTTGGGGATCACACCCAGCCATGCTCAGGGCTTACTCCTGGCTCTGAACTCAGGGATCATGCCTGGCGGGGCTCAGAAAACCATATACGGTGCTGGGGAATCGAACAGCATCAGCACCTGAGCCACTACACCACGTCTCTGGCCCCAAATTTTCTATCTTTTCCAGAGGATAAACCTCCAATATTTTGGCAGTTATGGTATTAGTCCAGTACTGAGACGAGTGGAGAGAATTTGGGATGGTTCTTTAACACAGAAGATGAACTCATCCCTCCCTTTACAATAACAACTCCTAACCAAGCTGAACACCCTCACCTCCCATAGAACTCATGGGAACGCTTTATATTTCTGTCTGCTCGCCTAGCTTAGGGTCCAGAGAGTTCACTCAAATATGACCACTGTCCTTCTGTTTTCTTTTTCCTTTTTTAATTATAGTTTACACAATAGGATCACAATAGTGTTCAAGTTTCTGAAACCCTACAAAGTTACTGCTCACCCCACCCCCCACCCCCATGAAAGGGTCCCTTACCCTCTGGCCCCTTTATTTTCTTTCTCCAAAAAACAGTTTATATCATCTCTTCTGTTGTCCTTTTTTCCTTTGATTGTTTGTTTTGAATCACAGTGAGATATAAGTTACAAAGTTGTTCATGACTGGGTTTCAGTCATACAATGTTCCAACACCCATCCCTCTGCCCGTGTACATTTCAGGGTACTATCTTTGATTTTGGGGATTAAAACTGGGTTGGCTGCATGCAAGGCAAACCCTACCATAAGATGATGCAAGAAGACAAGCACATAATGCTATAACCCTTTAAAACACACATAAAAAATTTTAATATATGTCTGTATATGGATATATATGGATATATATAGATATATGCCTGGCAAGCTACCCATGACGTATTCGGTATGCCAGAAAGAGTAACAACAGTCTCACAACGGAGACATTACTGGTGTCTGATCGAGCAAATCGATGAACAATGGGAGGTCAGTGATATAGTGCAGTGCTACATATGCATGTACATGTGTGTATGTATACCTATATATGTGTATGTATACATATAGATATATATCCACATATATATGTGTGTGTATGTATACATATCGATATATATCCACATCCCTACATAAACCACCTGTCTGCTACAGAAAAAGGTTTGCTCAAAGCCACTTGCCATTTCTGCGGGAAGCCTTCTGCGTGGTCACTGGCGGGCAAGACTGAGCAGAGACGGAATCTGACGGAACCACAGCACCTGTGTGATGAGCCTTTACCTTGTCGGCCCAGCTGACACCAGCAGGAGCCAGGCGGGGAGCAGCCACAGTGCCCGGTGAGCCCCTATAAAGAAAAGGAACGTACTCAAATGCCCGAACACGAGAGCAAAACCTTTACAAGAGAAGACTTCATAGAGTTTAATCTGAAATAAATTGGACACGTGTGCTTATCCACATAAAGCAGCATGCTACCATCAGAAGTCATGGGGAGCCGTCAAGTTACCTTGGTCTAATACATCGCTAATTTAATACAGTAGAAAATATTGCCATTCTATAGAAGTTCTTGTTGGTCTGGCTCCAAGATTGTCTTTCCACTAGAGGCAGGAGAGAGCTCAGTGGGCTGAATGTGGTCTTTGGCACCCCTGGTCCCCCAGAGCAGCCAGGAGTAAAGTAAGTAGCCTCTAAGCACTGCTGAGCATGGCCCCAACACATAATAATAATCAATTTTGGGGTCCGGAGCGACAGTACAGTATTCCCAGCATCCCATATGGTCCCCTGAGCACTGCCAGGAGTAATTCTTGAGTGCAAAGCCAGGAGTAACCCCTGTGCATCGCCGAGTGTGACCCAAAAAGAAAAAAAAATCAATTTTAAGTTTCACCGGAATCTTTATAAATAAACATATAAGCAGATGCTTCCCTCCACTCTGCCACTGCCCTCTCACTAAATGTACTCGATAAATCTGTTCTAACTTGCCTCTAAAAATATACGCTGAACTTTGCATTTACATATAGAATGCCAGCTTTAGTGATGAGAACGTACATTAATTTGCTGATACACTGATGCAGGACTATTAAAGTAGACTTTTGCCATGATGACCTTTTAGTACCTGTATTGCAAACCATAATGCTCAAAAGGTGAGAGAGAGAAAGAGAGAGAGAGAGAGAGAGAGAGAGAGAGAGAGAGAGAGAGTGTGTGTGTGTGTGTGTGTGTGTGTGTGTGTGTGTGTGTGTGTCAGTGTGAAGGAGAAAGAAGAAAAGTACTTGCCATAGAGGCAGGCTGGGGGATGATGAAGAGGGTGTGGCAGGAGGGAAACTGGGGACATTGTTGGTGAGAAATGTACATACTGATCTGTATTGCAGACCATAATGCCCAAAAGTAGAGAGAGAGTTTGGGGGAAATTGTCTACCATGGAGGCAGGGGGAGGGTTGGAAAAGGGGGGTATAATGGTGACATTGGTGGTAGAGAATGTGCACTGGTGGAAGGATGGGTGTTTGATCACTGCATGACTGAAACTCAAACATGAAAGCTTGAAAGCTTGTAACTGTATCTCACAGTGATTCAATAATAGATAGAAAGAAAGAAAGAAAGAAAGAAAGAAAGAAAGAAAGAAAGGAAGGAAGGAAGGAAGGAAGGAAGAAAGGTAGGTATACTGGTGAAGGGACCACTCTTAGAACACTGTATGATTAAAACCCAATTATGAACAACTTTGAAACTGTATCTCATGGTAATTCCATTAAAAAACTGAATTAAAAAATAAGTAAATTGGGGTTGGAGCAATAGCACAGCTGTAGGGCATTTGCCTTGTGTGCAGCCGACCTGGGTTCGACTCCCAGCATCCCATATGGTCCCCGAGCACCGCCAGGAGTAATTCCTGAGTGCATGAACCAGGAGTAACTCCTGTACATCGCCGGGTGTGACCCAAAAAGCAAAAAAAATAAAAAATTAAATAAGCTGAAAAAACAAAATCATAAAATGAAACAGACTTTTGCTATATACATTTTTGTTTGTTTGGGGGGTCACACCCGCTGGTGCTCAGGGCTTACTCCTGGCTCTATGCCAGGGATCACTCCTGGCGGGCTCCAGGAACATAAGCAGAGGCAGGGAGGGAACCTGGCTCAGTAGGTGCACAGCGAGTACCCTGCCTGCTGCACCCTCACCAGCCACATGTGGTTCTTACATCAACCACAAACACGATGCCTGACCGACAATGAGGCTTTTTATTTTAACAAAGGATTGAGCTGAGGGGTCTTTCTGTTAAGGTGGTGGCAGTGAAAATTTGGTGGGGGGAGTACAATAAGACTCAAACCCATAGAGAGGTTTGAAACTATCCCCTTGACATTCTGTGATATTGTAAAGTAATGATACATCAACTTAAAGAGGAGTGGGGAAATGGAAAACTTCAGGGTTTCCATGAAAAAAAAAATTATAGAATTATAGATCCCATGATTATATACTTTTTTCCCTACATACAAATGTTTGCTTCTTAAACAATTTTACCTAATTTATCCCTGGGCAAAGTAAATGCTGTCTTTAGACAACAAGAGACTTATACATTAAACATTTATGTGTACTTAACAAGTGGGATCTATTGTTTAAGCAATATATATATATACATATATGTATTTTAATTTACTAATTTACTAATCAATATGGTAAAAATCATTTGAGACATACACTCTCTGTCACTGTCCTCCCATTGTTCATCGATTTGCTCGAGCGGGCCCAGTAACATCTCCATTGTGAGACTTCTTGTTACTGTGTTTGGCATATTGAATACTCTCGATAACTTGCCAGGCTCTCTGAGAGGGGTGGAGGAATCGAACCTGGCTCAGCCAGGCTGGCTGCGCGCAAGGCAAACACCCTACTGCTGTGCTATCACTCCAGGCCCATTTAAAACATAAAAACTAGAAAAATTAAATAATAATTTTGAAGTTTAGGGATTTAATTTATAATCTATTAAATAATCTGGGTCAACTTTTCACCAAAAAAAAAAATGACTCTTCCTGCACTCACTGTATCACTGTAGCACTGTCCTCCCGTAGTTCACTGATTTGCTCGAACAGGCACCAGTAAAGTCTCTATTGTGAAACTTGTTACTGCTTTTGGCATATCAAATACGCCACAGGGAGCTTGCCAGGCTCTGCCATGCGGGCGGGATACTCTTGGTAGCTTGCCAGGCTCTCCAAGAGGGACGGAGGAATTGAGCCCAGGTCGGCTGCGCACAAGGCAAACGCCCTAACCACTGTGCTATCACTGCACTCACATTTCACATTAATTTAATATTTAAATTCTAAGTAAAAATAATAAAGGTGATTTGAATAAATCAATTTCGGAACTTGGTAACCTGAGTATTCAACTCAACCAATGAGAGCATAAATGAGTAGATACATGACAGACAGCTGTGAGCCACAACTTTTTCAGAATGCTGAAATATTGTGTTTTACAGTGAAAATAAGGGTCAGAGGGATAGTATAGCTGGTAGAGCGCTTGTTTTGCATGCAGCTGACCCAGGTTCGATCCTCAGCATCCCATGTGGTCTCCCAAGTAAAGCCTGGAGTATATTCCTGAGTACACAGCCAGGAGTAACCTCTGATCATCAGTGGTGTGGCCCAAAACATGCAACAAACAAACAATGATAATAAATTGTGCCAGTTCATCCAAGGACAGTAGACACAAGGGCCAGGAATATTGCTCCATAGTTGGAGGCCTGCCTCATGAGCTGGGGGAGAAGGCAGTTGGAATAGAGAAGAGATCACTAAGTCGATGGTGGTTGGAGGATTCGTTCGGGATGGGAGATGTGTGCTGAAAGTAGATGAAGGGCCAAACCTGATAGCCTCTCAGTACCTATACTGCAAACCATAATGCCCCAAAGTAGAGAAAGACTATGGGGGAAATTGTCTGCCATAGAGGCAGGTTGAGGGCTGGGATAGGGGTGGGTAGATACTGGAGACATTGGCGGTGGAGAATGCACACTAATGGAGGGATGGGTGTTCAACAACTGTATGACTGAAACTCAAACATGAAAGCTTTATAACTGTTGCTCACTGTGATTCAATAAAAAAAACAATAATGGGGGGATGGAGGGGGGAGGGATACTGGGATCAGTGGTGATAGAGAATGGGCACTGGTGGAGGGATGGATACTCTATCATTGTATAACTGAAACCCAAGCACAAAAATTTGTAAGTCTACAACTGTACCTCATGGTGTTTCACTAATAAAAATTTTTAGAAAACTGTGTCAGTTAATCCAACAAGATCAGATAGGTCCGTCCAGGAACTGTTATCATTCATGCAGGGATATCTTCCAGTAGTCACACAGACCCATCCACTCTGACCATCTGAGAAAAAAGGGAGAGCCTACCAAGGTAGACTCGGAGGCGCCAGAGAGAGGAGACTCAACAGGCTGAGCACATGTTTAGCATGGAGAATATTACTACAGTAAATATGAATAATATCAATGACTAGTCACGAATCACGACCATCCTGTTATTCGTCGATTGCCTCGAGCAGGCCCCAGTAACGTCTCCTTCATCCTAGCCCTGAGATTATATTCAGGTGTATATTCAGATTATATTCAGGCACAGCCAGGTGTAGGCCACCACACCCATAAAAAAGAAAAAAAGGAAAGAAAGAAGAGGCTTCAAATTAGGCATTAAGATAGAAAACAAAGTCTAAAATACAAAATAAAATAAGTCTAAAATTCAAAAGTCAAGGGCAGAAAGGCAGGTCACCCCATTGAAATGGAGGCTTTGTGTGCAGAAGGCCTCTGTTCAATTCCCATCACCACAGACTCCCCTGAGCACTGTGCAGGGAGCAGTCTCCAAGCAACACTGCTTATGGTCGGCCCTCAGAAAGAAGAGTTTAATATATATGTATGTATAAGTATATACATATATATATACATACACACATATATAAAACCAACATAAAAGACCAGAACATTATTCCACATGTATAGATGATCAATAAAGTAAATAAAATTATTTAAAACATGACACAGATACTCTGGAATTGAAAGTACAATAACCTAAATGAAAACTTCCCCCAGTAGTCTGAAGAGCAGAACTGTACTCATAAAATAAAGAATAAATAACTTGAAGAAAGGCCAGTTGAGCGGGTCCTAACCTGAGGAACAGAAAGAAAAGGAACATATGGAATGAACAGAACACCCCTTCACACACTTCTGAACACCATCACAGGGACATCAAATGTATGGCAGAATTTGCAGAGAGAAATCAGGCAAAAATAATTAACATAAGCCTCGCTATGTATGGGACACATTAATCTATATATCGCAGAACAGCAACAAACGTGACTGAGAATGCAGGGCTCACACACACAAGGATCACAGTCAAACTATCAAGGAGAAGACTGAGAGAGAAGCTTTTCGCAGGGGAAAGAGAGGCAGCAGGAATCAAACCCAAAATAAACCACATCCCAGCTCCCAGAGAGAGAAAACTTAGAAGCAGCAAAACAAAAGTAGAGCATTTCATTGTTTTAAAAAGCCCAAGAGAAGGGACAGCTAATTTCTCATCAGAAATGAGAGAAGCCGGAAGCCAGACGGAACATGAGAAGATATACTGAGAGAAAAAGACTTCAATGGTGAGCGGCCTGGGGTCATCAGGGCTCTGTGCTTGGGAGTGATCCCTAGTGGTGCTCGGGGAATCAGATGTGGTGCAGGGATAGATGCTGAGTTGGCTGCGAGCAAGACAGAGCTTTCACCCCTGGCTCCGCTATCCAGTCCCAGAAAATGACTTTCAGCCAATAATTCTATGCACTGCAAACCTACTCTCCAAAACCTGAAGGATATGTTAAAAGACTCTCAGATAAACAAAAAGTGAGAGAAAGATGTAACTGGCAGACCTACACACACATGCACACACACACACACACACACACACACACACTACAACAATTTCCTTTTAAACATAAAAGGAAATAAGACAGTGATATGACTTGAGTCCATATCACATAAACAAAGAGAACCAGAAAAAGCAACTAAGTAAATACAAAGGATAATATAAAAGTATCTTTTCTTTGTAACTTTTCTTCTTCCATTTGATTTAATGGACAACTACCTAAAATAAGACTGGGTTGATGGAATCATAATGTGTCAGAATGGACAATTTATGATATCAATGGATTTAGAGGTTTCATTGTGAACTAAATTGCTAGTTCTTTATACAAACCCTTTAAATTCTGGGTCTCTACTTATGTCTGAACACATTACATTTCCTGAAAGTTGAAACTTTACTCTCATGAATACTTTTAAGTTTTTATTCAAACAATTTCAAATACCCAGGAATATATATATGAATGTGTTTTAGCAGAAATTATCAGTTTTGTAATACTTATAAGAATCTTATCCACAGGACATTTCCTACTGCAATGCAAATCTTAATGGCTCACCCAAAATTTAAGCTTCTTCGAGCATTTGATGTTACACTTATTCTGTCAGTTGATGGACTTGGAATCACGTGACGTCCAGGAGACATCTTCTTCACTTCCCATGCCAACGACGTTGGTCTGCCGATTGAAAGCATGCAGCAGAGTGAATTCGCGAAGAAAGGGGGGGGGGGGGGGGACAGAAACTTTTCCATTGGTTCTTAGCAGTGAAAAACATCCCCAGGTCACAATCTTTTTCCAAGAGCTGGTTTATCCAGAAAGTTAGCACATTCACATAAAGCTATCCCTAATGACGTTGGATCAAGAGTTTTCACCCACCAACTGATCTACACTTACCTAAAAGGGTCCTGAGTTACGAAGACATTAAAAAACAAAACAAAATACAAGAAAACAAAACCACACCTAAAAAGTCAACAGGACTAACTCAAGCTAGTTGTGTCTGAGAACTAATGGTATGAAAAACAAACAGCAAGTCAGAAAGAAAGTGGTAAGGGTGGAATAAAGAACACACGGGGATCTATATAAAGATATATAAAGTCTCCTTTATTTTTAAGTGGATATTGCTTTTGAATTAAGAACTGCTGTTAAGGGTCTGGAGAGCTAGTATAACTGGTAGAGTGCTTGCCTTGCATGCTGAGTCAGGGTTAATATCCAGCATCATATATGGCCCCCTGAGCCCTGCAGGGACTGGCCCTGAGCACAGAGCCAGAGAAAGCCCTGAGCACCACAGAGTGTGTCCAAAAGAAAAAAAAGAAGAAAAAGTGCGACTGAACCTTAATCTTCTGCACTTCTTCACTGGCCCCCCAACCAATGAGTTGACAGAATCTCTCCTAAAATGTTTCTCTCAAGCAACAATTCTATCTGATGCTCATAACCCTATCTGTAATGCCCCCAGAATCTGCTTATCCCACATCTCCATTCACGCTAACAACTGGGATTTTTTTTCTCAAAAAAAAAAAAAATTATAGTTATAGCTATTAAACAAGAAATTTGATTTTTACAAAAGATGACTCAAATAAAATCTAATGCTGCACTTCTTGGGCCACATCCAACTCCGAGTTTTGGGGGATGAGGGGTTTCTGCTAGCAGTACTCGGTGGACCATAAGGTGCCAAGGATCTAACAGGACTCCCACATGCAAAGCCCGCAAGCACTCCAGTCTTCTAAGCTCTCTCTGCACCCCAGAAGTCTGAAGCTTTAGACAACTGAGGGCCAAATCACCTTTGAGAAAGGTTGTAACACACTATGCTACCACCCAGATACAAAAAGTCCCTTTCTGTTCAACGCTGCCAACATCTGACATCCATTTTCACTGGAAAGTTGCATTTGCTTTTATTTTTGATTTTTGCAGAGAACAGATCTAATGCCAATCTCTTACTTGAAATGGTTCCAAATAAATCTGAAGTTTTCATGATCTGGCCCGCACCTAATTCTCTTAGCCCCGGCGACTCATGCTCTTGTGCGTGTGATCCCCACCTCACTGAACTCCAGATCCCTGGATGCCACCACGGTACCTTCTACCCCATGGCATCCAACTGTATCATCGCTCCTGCCTAGGCCACTCCTTTCTCCACTTTCATCCAGCTAATGCCAACCTGAGATTTTAGTCACAACCTAAACCTTGCCTCCTTGGGGAGACTTCTTAGACTCAGCAAATCCGCTCAGTGGTAAATTTGGGGGGGAAAGGGGCTCACCCAGTGGAGCTCAGGGGCTACTCCTCGCTCTGCACTGAGAAGTTACTCCTGGCGGTGCTTGGAGACCATATGGGATACTGGGAATTGGACCCAGGTCAGTGTCCTACCTTCTGTACTATTGCTCTGACCCCAGTAGTAGATTTTCTAAATACTACCGGTAAAGTACTCTCTTATTTTCTTTATTTAATGGGGATGAGGGGATGATGGGTGTAATAAGCTGGGGAAAGATCTCAAGCAGTACTCAGGGCCTGGGGTCCACTCCAGTGATACCTGGCCTAGCTATGCAGACCAGACAGCTCAGTGTTAAGGATTTGGAGTGGGGATTTGCTAGGCAATGCTCGGAGGGCCATGGAGTGCTGGTGTCAAATTCACATACCTGGCATGTGCTCCCCTCTATGCTCTCTGCCCGGGCTCCCATATTTCTACTTCAATGAGAGCTCACACATGAGTCAAAAATGAACATCAATCTTTCCTGGGAACACTCTCCACTCTTCATGAGGGCAAGCAATGTGGCGATCCCTTTCACCCAATAGCCTTGCACACAGAACTCAGATGCAGGCTGGCCAAGGGAGAAGTCACTTGGATAGCTCACCATTCTCCATAACAAAAAAATAGAGGTTTCCCTCACTGCCTACTCCTTTTAGCAGGGATAATACAACTTCCCTGATGCTCCTTTCACTTTGCACAGACTCTGCACTTCGACAGCTGACTTCATTTTCTTCCTCTGTCAACAAGGCAAACCACCTAGTAAAATCCACTGCATCCTTAGAACATTCCCACCCCCACCGTGAAAGCTTCCTGATCCATCCCCATCCAAGGAGATGCAAGCGTGTCCTGAGCACCCACTCATAAACACATGAGAGCAGTGAATATGTCAGTGATTCAATTGTTGTATTAGGAAAAAGTACCTTGTCCCAGAAGGTGTCCAAGATTACGCCCAATCAAATATTTGTTGCTGAACTAAATCAGAAACACAGCTTCCAAATTTAAGAGTTTCAAGTTAGGCAAAGGTCTAGGACTGCTTTTTACTATTTTTTTTCCTTTTTTGGCTTTCTGGGTCACACCCAGCAATGCTCAGGGGTTACTCCTGGCTCTGCACTCAGGGATCACTCCTGGCAGTATTCAGGGACCATATGGGATGCTGGGGATCGAACCCGGGTTGGCCGCATACAGGGTAAATGCCCTACCCACTGTACTATCGCTCCAGCCCCCAGGACTGCTTTTTAAACTGATGGCTGGTCTAAATACACAGAATAGAGTTGATTACCTGCTTTGAGCATCTGTCTTCTCTAGCTTTTCCTGAAGCTGAATCCAGTCAATCAACGCTTTGAAATCTCTAACATAGTTATCCAGCATCATGAGCACTTCCTAAAGCAAACCAAACAACAAACATCGAATTACACTGAGTCAAAAAAGTCATTTCAATTTTATTTTAGTCACCCTGATTTACAGTCCGTTAATGGCACTGCTGCCTGCACACATCATAACACTCCCTCGGAGTGCCCAGTTCGCTTCACCACTGGAATCTAAAAAGTGTGAGAAAAAGCTTTAGAGGGAAGGTCGTGAGAATTAATAATTTTTATAGTACACTCCCTCCTCATTATAAAAGTAATAAAACTTAATTGTCTTTTTTTTCTTCTTTTAAGGTTTTATTTTTTCATTCTCACCACTTGGTAAGGAAATAAGAAGTGAATGAGGGGGCCAGGAAAAGAGTACAGCAGGGAGGGCGCTTGCCTCGTATATGGTCCCCCGAACAACACACGAGGAGTGACAGCTAGGAATAAGCCCTAAGCACAGCAAGGTATGATTCAAAAACAAAACAAAAAAGATTAATGAAAAAGAATAAATGATTCCCTGGTCACCAGGAATGATCCCTGAGCTCAGAGCCAGGAGTAAGCCCTGAGCACCACTGGGTGTGCCCTGCACACAAAGAAACGGAAAAGGAAAAGGAAAAAGGGAAAATAAAAGAAGTAAGTTTAGACGAGAGGCTACAAAGAGACAGTATTAATATGCCTTTTTAAAAATTCCACAAAATGCCCGCTTCTACTTTTTGCCAGAAAGTTGAAGAGAAAAGTGTTCAAACATTCAAAACATAATGTACAGCATACTATTAGAAAGCCAAGATCCATGCAAACATTATCTAAAGCAAAACTGAGTCCACAGCATTGCCCCCAGGTCCCTGGGGCTCCACCTGCCCCTGCATCACTACCTGACACTCCTTCACAGTAGTCGCTGCTTAATTTCGCCTGATTCGATAGATAAATGAACTGAGTGAGTATGGTTTGTGCAGAGTTTCTCCTGTGACTCACTGCTGTCTACAAACACATTCAGGCATCCCACTGCATCAGTATTTACTTAACCCAACTACTATGTATCAATTTGTACTTATATTTATGTACTTATTTTCCCATATATCAAATATTTGTCCAACCTAAGCTTGATAAACATATCAGGTTTCCATATTTAGGAATAATAAATGATATGCTGTTCCCTACATACATGTCCTCTGCACATCCTGTTGCTATCTGTTATGTCTAAACCCATGAGCAGAACTGCTGGACCAAAGGTAAGCAGATAATACATTTTGGCACACAAGAATAAAATCCTTTGCAAAATGAACCTACTTCCTCTAGTTTTTTGCAGCTTCAATCTGTCAGGAAAACAAGGTACCATCCATATAGGTTTTCATTCATGGACACACAGACACACACACACCCACAGACTCACACACACTCACATCCACACACACAAACACACACACACACACACACTCATCCATGGTTCAAACCCACAGCTTCACACATACAAGGCACATGCTCTACCATGAGCCCCAATCCCGGAGACTCTGTTTTAAACCTGAGCCATTCTCACTGACTGATTCCTGGGGCTTCACTCTGGTTGTAACATCTGTGTCGCCAACACCAGTGATGTCCCTGTCCTCTCATAAGCTCACTGTCCAGACTCTTTTGGCCAAGTACGTATACAAGAATGCTGCCCATTTTTCTGGAGGGATGACTGCCATTCCTTTCTGATGGGCTGACACTGCTGTCTGTGTCTTTTACATGAAGAACCTTCCTTGGTTATGCAGGCTACAACATATGCTTAACCTTTTATACTTTGCAAAGAAGGAAATCTTTTGATGAACAGAAATTCCTAATTCTGTGGAAGTCTAACTTCAACTCTTTCATTTAAAGACCGATACGGCTGTGTGATCACATCGAAGTAATCTTTCCCTTCCACCAGTTCAAGACACTCTTCTCCAACGTCATCTTTCACATTAGCAGTTCTGAATGGGGTCTTATGAGGGTAAGCCCCCAGAATACTTCAAGGTGGCCACAGATGAAAACTGCATAAATGGGGCAGGGGAGGGGGATAACATGAGACTAGGGGGCTAACTGGTAGGACTGGTGGTGCTCACTTGGAAGGAAACAAAGTTGAAAATGAGCCACAGTTAGAAAAAGTTGAGAAATACTGTTCAGAGCCCGGGTCTGTTTGGGAAGTCTAACCTCTGTCTTATCGGTCTTCCTTTGAGGTACCCAGAGCAAACTTATACTGTTACAGTTCTAAAATCAATCTCGGGGCTGGAGTGAGAGCACAGCGAGGAGGGCATTTGCCTTGCATGCCGTCCACCTGGGTTCGATCCCTGGCATCCTATATGGCCCCCTGAGCACCGCCAAGAGTAAGTCCTGAGTGCTGAGCCAGCAGTCACCCCTGAGCATCGCCAGTGTGACCGACCCAACAATGCCAAAAATAAATAAATAAATAAATAAATAAAATCAATCTCAAAGTCCAGTAGAGTACATCCTCCAACTGCTGCCAGAGAGCAGCCTGGAGGCAGCCACCGGGGTAGAGGAGGACCCTGCTGAGTTCTGGTACAGCCTTTACCCGGCTGGTGACCAGCCCACCGGGGTCTGGATGGGGGCAGAATTAACCCCTGCTCACCCCAAGTCTCAGAGGAGCCAAGGAAGCTCAGATGGAATCAAACTTAACTCTTTCTGATCCAGACCAGCCTTCACCCAAATACCAGGTTCCTATCTTCCTTACAAGGGAAAAATTCAAGGCAGGAGAGTGAAGACAAGAACTCTGAATAAAATGACCCAAGAAACAGGCACAGCTGTTGCCATGGAGGGTTGCAAAGCATGCAGCCCTGAGCCATACTCACTGACTGATGCCTGGGGTTTCACTGAAGCGGGGTGAGAGGGGGGTTAGTAAAACTGTGCGTGAGAACCGCATGCTTACTGATGTGCTGCATGTGCCAATCACATCACTATACAACCAGAGTACTGGGAGTTCATACACATTTGGAGCTAAAGAAAGGGAAACTGACCGTAGGGCCAGGGTTCTGATCCGCACGTGCTCTGCTAACTGGGCAGAGCTGGCTTTCAGAGTCCTCTTATCAGGGAGCTGAAATCACAGTCTCCGTGGCCCAAGTGCTTCTTCCATCTCAAGGCCTTTCTTCAGCAAAGAGGGACTCTATTCTGTTTCTCAGAGCAGTTCTCCACATCACCTCCCTACCTCCCAACTATTATCTTTGACCTCTTTGTTCTGAAGAGAATTCGAGCCTTTGCACTTTCGCACAAATTTCAGAAATGACATCAATTCTCCAGAAGGAAAAATTTTAAATTTTGAAACTGGACTGATTTTTACAGCCAACTGGAAGAACACTGACATAAGTGTTTTTTGGTTCATAAACAGATATGTATTTATGTGTACTTCTCTCTTACTCAGTATTTTCAATCATGTATTATAGTTTTATGTGTAGAGGTACTGAACATCTCTTATTAGATTTAACCTGAAGAATAAATGGTAGCTGTGTAAAATTTATTTTTCTCTATTACTGTTGATTTTGTAATGTGAACTGGTATTCAGCAATTTTAACTCACCCAATAATTACATAAAGCAACATCAGCAGCAGTGAGTTAAAATGTTTTCAAAGTTAATCCACCTGGTAGCATTTATCAGTCCTTTATTCCTGTGTAATGGCTAAATAATTACATGAATAAACACTATTTGTTTATTCATGTAGTTGATGGATATTTGAGTTGTTTCCACTCTTTGTCTATTATGAATAATGCTATTATTAACATTGTGTACAAGTTTTTCTGTGAACAGACGTTTCTAATACTCTTGTTGAGAAGTAAACTTGATACTTTTTATATGCATTTCCCTGATGATTAAAAATGGGCAGCATATTTTCCTATGTTTATTGGACACATATATCTCTTCTGAAGAACTGTCTATTCAAATCCCTTGTCCAATTTAAACTGGGTAATTCTCTTTGTTTCTGAGCTCTAAGACTGACCAGAAATATGGTCTGAAAATTTTTTTTTTCTCTCACACAAGTTTTTTATTTTTGATGACTTTCAATTTACCCTGGTTTTTAGTGGTCACATGTGTTTTCGCTATCAGAGCTCAGAAGCTACTGTGGTCTCCAAAAACCAGAAAGATTTACTGCACTCCTCAGAATTTTATGTGTTTAGCTCTTAGGCTTAGGTCTTTCTGATCCATTTTCTGATCATTTCTGTACATGGAGAGGTGAAGCTCCAGAATCATTCCTGTATATGAATATCTAGTTGTCCCAGCAACATTTATTGAAAAAGACTATTCTCTTCCCCCTGTTAAATGGTCTTAGCACCTTTGTCAAAAATCAAGTGTCCGGGGGGAAAGGCAGTTAGGATAGAGAATGGAACAGTATGAGAATAATAGCTGGAAATGGTCACCACTTTGGACAGAAACTGAGTGTTGAAAGTAAGTAAAGGGATATACCTGATAACCATTCAGTATCTGTATTCCAAAATACATTGCCCCAAAGAGAGAGAGAGAGACAGAGAGAGAGAGAGAGAGAGAGAGAGAGAGAGAGAAGTGGGAGGGGGTGCAAGGGAGGTGGGAGGGGGGCACAAGGGAAACTGGAGACACTGCTGGTGGGAAATGTACACTGGTGAAGTGTGCATGTTGGAACATTATATGACTGAAAAGCCCAATCATGAACAACTGAGTATCTCACGGCGATTCAATTAAAAAAATAAATAAATATAAAAAGTTTAAAAAATCAAGTGTCCACTTGACTCCAGGCTCCCAATTCTATTTCATTATGTCCACCGTCCTCCTCTGCCCTGGAGCCACCACGCTGTTCTTCGTATACTAGCTTGGCAGTAAGGTTTTATTTACTAGTTAATCTGCTTTTGGCGAAACGAGCTCATTTTATTGAAACGTCTTAGAAAGATATGAGGGGGACAAAAGAGAGCAGGTACATGTTGAAGCACGAATATGGGTTTGAAGGACCAGTGTCTGCAGGAAGTTTTGAATTCAGAGGGTCTTCAGACTTATGTTCTTTTTCAAATTTCTTCTGGCAATTCACTACCCCGTCC